AAAGGAAGTGGTTATGGGTACTGCAGGGAGCCTGGGGCTGGATTATGTTGACTAGACACAATTAGGTGAAAACTGGAAATTATCCAGCAAAAGTGGCTACTCTTATTGAGCCCTAGTGCAAACTGTAGCTCCAATATTTAGTGAGTTTTTTTCTTCCTCTGAATACTGCCCTGTTGAGTTCATATTAGAGTTCCTCCATCCAGATTTAGCTGTGCTTGAGAGGCCACAGCCTGTTTATTGACATGGCCATAAAAATGATATGGCTCATATAACCTAGAGGATAACTTGATGTCTTCCACTTGCTAAAGATGAGCACAGGAGCATGTACTCGTTCACACCCTGACTCAGTCAGTCACTCACACATTCAGCCATTCACTCAGAGCTTTACAGAATGCTTATGAGAAAATAGTGCCAGTGGTCCATGTTAGAGCAGTTTATATGCAGGTCACCTTATTCACTTGTTGGTTTTACCTCAGCTTCTCATTACAGTCTTATGGAGGAATGATAATAGCAGCCTGAGCCTTTAGATAATGGAAACAAGGGCCAGTGGGATTACTGGAAGGTTTCCATTCACCCCGGTGGCACCTCAACAGACTGCAGTGGCTTACATTGCAAAAGCTGTTTTCTTTTTCAGTCTAGCCTTTGTTGTTATCACACTTTCATATTTTACCCCAGTGCCATTCTCTGCAACCCCTTATTATAACCCTTTATCATCATGGTTTAGGTTAACACAAGATTGGGCCATATGTTGATATATAGCTACCATACCTACCATCAGATATTTTGCCATATCGTTAATACTGTGGTTTGTGGGTCATGCTGTACCTCAATAAGCACAATTTCCTTATGGCTGTTTTGCATTAATGTGATGATCTTATCTTTATGGATTAGGTATTTCTTTTACCGGATTCAACAAAAACGAATATTGTCAATATATATTTCAGAAACTTTGTTATATCACTATATGTATGTATATTTATTTTGCAGTGTAAAAGTACAGTAACAGAAGACTTTGTTCATATCAACCACTTGACTTCAGTTTCATCTCAAATTAAACATGGACAGTCTCTAGGCTTCCTTTAAAATAAAACATTTACAAACCAAGAAAACTGAAGATCATTTCTACAGTTTTTACATAATGATGCATAATGTAATTTTCATTGTCTCACTTTACTGTTAATTCAGTTTACATTTTAGATGTTGTACCTTATGTAATAGGGCCAGTCAGAAAAGTGCTGATGTGAAAGATGATATTAGAACTAACATGATATAATGTTATTTAAAAAATCAACAATATTATAATAACAACAAGGTAAGAATAGGAGGACAGGAAGTTGTTCAAATATTTTGAGGTGCACTTGCCATCAGCTGCTGGCAACATTTCTGGAGGTCACCTTGTATAAAAGGATTGGCCCCACAGATGCTTTTTTTAAAACATTATCTTTTCCATATCTTATATTTGAACCTGTTAGAAAAAATTGGTTAAGTGTAGATCGACCGTTAGTGCATTTGGAGTTGGCCACCATTCTGCCAAGGTGTGTGCGCCTTTGGCACT